GTTTATCTCACCCCATCACTTGCTCTCCCCCTGCTCCCCCCCCCACCCACCCATCGTGTCCATGCTGGTACTCGCTCCCCCCACCCCCCACACTGGAGCTCTCTACTCTAATTCCATTCCCCTGCTCTCTCCCCACATATTGTTTCTCTTCAAATATTTATCTAATTTATTTGAATAGTCCGATCCATCCCCGGTCAATTTCAAACTCCGAAGGGAAGAATCACGATGCAATTTCAATTAAAAGTTTTTTTTGTCCTGTTGTTTATATCATTTTTCGCTGTAAAATTTTTGAATGTCGAATGTGTATCAATAGACAGATGGATCAAGGGAGCGGATGGATGCGAAGCCAGACATTTTCGGAGTTCCTGGGAGGGCAGCTGCCCTCTCTGTGCTGGTTTAATGCCCTGGTGCCTGCAAGAAAATAATAATAATAATAATGCTTGCATTTGATATAACGCCTTATCACGCTGTTGAAAAGTCTCAAAGTGGATTGTGTATTTTGTGGGGCAAACATGCCAGCCAATTGTGCACAGCACTATCCCACAAACAGTCGGGGATTGAGTGACCACGTATCAATCTGTCCGCTCCCTCCACTCAGCAGGCTCCGGCCTGCCCCACCATCAACAATCTGGCCTTCAGCCTCTCTGTCCCCAACCTTTGGAACTCCATCCCATGTTCCCTTCACCTCGCTCCCTCCCTTGCCTCCTTCAAGGCACATCTCAAGACCCTCCTCTTTGACCGCCCTTTGGCCACTCTCCCTGATCCCAACCCCCAGCTCGGGTCCAAATCCCTGACTGTCCAGTGCCCTGGAACGTACTCCCAACATGAAAGACGCTATACAAATGTAATTTTTGTATTTTTTTGGAATTTTTTTTGACCAAATAGACTGCAAAACATGTCGATTTGAATAAATTGCCAGTGTGGACTTTCCTTTCTCTCTCCATCCCCCTCATTTCTGTCTCTCTCTTCTCTCTCTTCCTGTTCCCCCTTTCTCTCTCTCCCCTTCTTTCCTTCCTCTCTCTGTTCCCATTTTCTCTCTTTCTCTCCTCCCGCCCACAATACGAGTGTGCTGCCTGCAATTACACCTGACGGGACTCCAGACAAAATAAGACTCCACAGAAATCTTCCGATGCGTATAGGTGCAATTTGTGGTTAGTACTTGGGAGGGTGGGTGAGGATTCGGGTCATCTTCAACACCCTCTGGAAATGTGTCCATTCCACCACTAGATGACGCTCCAATGTTTTCATACGGTATAAAAACACTTGCGGAACTTTGGAAGGTTTTTTTTGCGTCTTATCCCAACCAACCTCTGCAT